CCTTGGAGAATTTAAATCTTTTTTATTTTATTTTGTCAAACTTCAAACAGGACCTTCAGTTACAGAAAATCTGCTCTGAATCATAAATTAAAATAATGCAATAAAAATAAGACATTAATTAATTAATTATAAAACTTTTAATTGCTTTTATGAATAAGATATTATGGACACTATTATGTAAGAAGCAAATATTTATTGATAAATAATGAATTTTTACAAGAATTGTATTTTTTTATAAAGTTTTAAAATTCTGTATTAATTTATATCAGGTGATATTATTAAGTAAAAACTATATTTACTAATCATAAATTATTAGCCTTCTACCTGTTTTTGGTACTGTATTAGAGGCTCTAATTAACTCTGGAAGCATCGTATATTGCAGGGTCTTCTTTCTGATAAGCAATATGGCTTTCATAACACTAGGTCAATTGCTGAAAGATTCTAATAAGAATGGTGAAGCTCAGGTTGTTGCTTTAGATATGTCAGGGTTTGTCATACCAGTCTTCTTCCCAAATTGAAAGGTTATGATATTGTCTGAACAAATTCAGACTTTTTTACCAATTTGTGAAATGAAAGTTGTCTTGAATGGCCACTCTTCTAGATCATTTTGCATAAATGTAGATGTACCCCAGAACTCTATCCTTGAATCTATGTTGTTTCTAATTTTCATAAATGTCCTTCCTGATGTCATCAGTTCTCCACTTGGTATCTATGTTGATGACACAACTATTTACTGTTGTCTTAATAGTAAGTCTGACCAGTTGGATAAAGTCAAATTGGCAGCTGATCTCAAAATTACCTACACTCTGTTGTTAAATGGGGCAAGGAATGGCTTTTTAATTTTAATGCCTCAAAAATGAAACTGCTCTCTTTTAATCATCTGAAAGTACCCTTTTTACCTTCAATCAGCATTGCTGATGCTAATCTTCAGGAGAGTGACTCCTTGCACCTTCTCAAACTAATGTTTTTAGCTGATATGAAGTGGATTGAATCTTTTGCTACATCTACAGCTATAAGTCTACCATTCATCCTTGCTTTGTATATTGCTACTACATCTGCTCTGGTGCTCCTGCTATATATTTAGAGATTTTTGATAAAATCCCAAGAAGAATCTGCAATGTTATTGGTCCTGGTCTGGCATCTTATTCAGCCACTTTCCCTACCACCATAATGTAGCTTCCTGTCTTTTTCTGCTAATATTTTCATCATAATTGTTCTGATGAACTTTCCTCCATGGTACCTAGACTTTATAGTACTAGATTGGAGGCAAGGTCTTGTCAATTTACAGTTGAAATAGCTATACTAACAGTTTCTTTTCTCGCACTTCTCTTTTGTGGAATCATTCTCTTCTGGCTTCTTGCTTTCCAGTTAAGTTTGATCTTCAAATAAATACATTGTCAATAGTTATCTTCTCATATTCTCCAACACTCAGTAACCTCTGGCGTTCAAGTGGCTTTGTCATGCTTGGAGTGAAATATTTAAGGAAAAAAAACTTCCTACAATTCAGAAACTCCTGATATATTAAAAAGAATTGTGTGTGTGTATGTATGTAAATGTACCGTTTTTTTTTGTTTGTTTTTTTTTGTAAATATATACATGATATTATCTGAAAATAAGATTGGTAACTATAGTAAATTTAAAATTTATTAGTAATTTTCTAACATTTCCTCAAAAAGGGTATTTGTAATTAAGACTATAAAGGCAAAGTACCTAAAATTCAATAAAATATTTAATTAGAATATTTTTCTTAAATTTTTAGGAATACTGGGTAGTTAAAAAAAAATTACATTAAAAAAAGGTGTTCCTGTTCTATTCAAGTAATTATCACAGTTAAAAGCTCTTTACTTAAAAACGCCAAGCATCGGCTTATCAATAAATGATTATGTATCGACACCCCATAAAAACACCTACCCTATGTTAAAAAATGTTTTTCTGCGATATTTTAAACTAAAGTAATACTGACTTTTTTTTTTAATTCAGATTAATGAAACTTTATCAGTTAATCTTCCTCAAATAAAATATGAAAAAAGTATTTTATTTTTTAAAGATTTTTTAATAAAGAGAATTACTTTGTGTTGACAGATTTGTTATTGTAACCGATTTTCGTTTTTTGTATTATCCAAAATGCGCACGTATTTTGGTGATACCTTAAATTCCTTGAACGAAATTCATATTAAAAAAACAAAAACTGTTGCATTTTCGAATACCCGCCCTTTTTTCTAGTGCAAGAACGAAAAGCAGACTCTTCTTCAGATTCGTCCCAGGAATTTACATAGGATGAGGGGTCCTGAAAAGTTCTTGATACTCCCGATTTCTTAGAATCAGACCAAATAACTAAACATCAAAATTGGGGTGGGGATTTCTTCTTGGTCAAGCCAATAACTTTAAATGCCTTAACTTATAAAAAAGGTAAAATTGATGTTTGATATGTTGAAAAAAAACCAACTGAAACTATGGTAAACCTGAGTGAATATTTTATTCTTAACAAATGAGACTAGAAGTCAGAAAAAAAAATTGTCCCCCCCTTATTGAACAACAACCGAACTATGTTATTAAAATTATTATCATAATAACAATTGAATTACTAAGAAGATTATTGTGCCATTGTCTTATGGGGAAAATGATATATAAATTTTTATTTTTTATATATCAAGAACAATTTTAGCCTTTTTAGGTGGGGGTGGGGGGTGTTAAGAAAAGCTTACGTGTGCTTTTTACTTCGACGAAGTCACATAAAGGACAAAAAAAAAAAACGTCACACAAAAACTTTATCCACTTTTCATTTTTTTTTCCCTTGTCAAAGCTTCTTTTTCTTTCTCTCTCTCGTGAAACAGTTTGGTTGGAATCCAAAAGTTGTTCAACAAGTAATACGCAAGCGTCTTTTAGTTGCTTTTTAAAAATTAATGAGTACTTTAGCAGAAAATTTAAAAATCAATGTTATTGTTAAATGTTAACACTCGTCAGCTTGGATCAGAATTTTCTGCAAATATCAACAACAGAGTACGGTATTATTTTTTAGTTGGATAGAAAATTGAATTGCAGTAGTAACCGGATCTTTTTATTATTTACTACAAAACATTTAAAAATTAATGAATTCTTCTAGTAGTGTTTGCCTTTGTCTTGTTCTTCTAAACAATGTTAGGAAAATGTGACAACCAAAAAAGAAAACAGAAATATTATTACCTAGCTTTCTTTCTTTTTTTTTTTCTTTAAGGGGGGAGCGGATAAAATTCTTTCTCTCTCAATGTTATTAAAAACAAATTCATTCATTATCACTAATGTCTAAATAACCAAAGACAAGTTTAAATCTTCATTCAGCATTTTTTTCAGAAATTGAACAATCATTTTTTTTAAATTATTTGATGTCTTGCCAAATTTTGCCAGCCTTATGGCAAAAATTTGACTTCAATAAGGACTTCTTGTAGGACTGAATATTTTTCAGTTTTTGTTTCATCTTTCATCTCTTTGTTTTAAAATCTCTTTTTACTTTGTTGTTGTTTCACCTCACCTAAAATAAAAAGAAATATTTTGTTGGACCGTTTACGTGAGAAGCGCAAAATGTCAATGGGTTGATCATCATTTGAATTTGTTAAAAATCTAAAAAAAAAAAACCCTCCAGTACAAATGAATACATTACTATTCACAGTTACACCTTTTCATGAATTGCATAATAATACGTGGCTATGTTGGCTGGTTGTGGCAAGAAGTAGTTAAAAATAAAAAATCAATTATTTTTTCCAGTCAATAATTGCTGTCTTGTACTTTTTTTCTTATTAAAGAAAGAAGTATAAAATAAAAAATAAAATGCTAATGCATAATTCTGGATGGAGATATTTATTTTTTTACTCTTCGCCTTTCCCTTCCTTCAATATATATTTTAAATTTTTTTTTTTTTTTTCGTTCATAGTAACTTCCTTTTTTATATGTATTTGTTTGTCTCCTTTCATTATTTGCATTGCATACATTCCATTATTTAGCACTTTTGCCGGGAAAGTTTCAAAATAATTTACTTTTTAATATATTTCAAGACCCAGAGGACCATTCCCCACAGGCAGTACCTCTCCTACGGAAGAGGGCTGGGGTCATTACCCGGCATTTGAGGCATCCCAAAAAGAGGAAGTGCCGAGAGGGCTTGAGCAATTTTCCCACAGTATTGCCATTAAACTGACCTTGTGTCACATTTGGTAGCGACATTGGGCGCACTGGAAAAATACACATTATTTCAGTTTTATAGAAGTCATACTCACTCTGCAAATTTGCTTACATTTCATTTTACAATCAGTTTTAAAATAATCCTCATTTCCACAATTTTTCTTTCCTGAAATGAAAATCTTTGAATTTTGTGAAGTATATATGCATCAGATAGTGGAATTGACAAGACCCTTTCAAATTCTGGCCTAATTCAACAAGAATCCTTCTCTTCTCTCTCCTTTCCCCAACTATGGGTTAAACTGCAGTGTTCTCAAGCTTTGTGTTTTCAGCCAGTCTAGAAGGACAACTCTGAATTCAAAACTCTGGAGCAATGACTCCACCATGTTTTACAAAAAGTTGTCATGGCAATTTATGGTTAATAATCATGTTAAACTGTGGAGTGCCATGATTGCATACATCCAGAAGAGACATGGCAAAACAAAAAAAAAGTGTTGCTCAACAAAAAAGTTTTTGAATATCAGACTATGTATTATTCATTCTAATATTTTTTTATCATCACTGTGATAAAATAATTATTAATCATTCAAGTAAAAGCTTCTTTAGTAGATAAGTAATAAAAATATTCTTCAATTGATGAAAATGTTCTTCAAAAAAATTCTTATTTGAAATGTACTGGTTTCACTTTTGATATAGAATCAAACTCCATCTTTGCTTTTTAAATATAACTCTTCTTAACTCTCCTAAAATAATTATTCTTTGTAACATATTTCATTATACATTTTATAATTGTTGTTTTTATTTTATTATTTTATCTTTGTTTACAACATTTGAATAACGTTTATTTTCAGATCTGTCCAGATGCGTTTGTACAGTCTTAACAAACGTCAGTTTGTTATGGTCTTTGTCATATTTTTGGTTTGTTTTGCTCTTAGCGTGGTTGTTGGTATTGCTGGTAAGTACCAATTTCATTCACTTTTTCTTTTCTTCTTCTTTTTTTTTTTTTTTACAATAAATTTATTTGTTTTTTGTTTTGTTTTCTAGCTTCTTTTATTGACCTGATGATACATATTGAATTTTTCTGAAAACACAGAATTATATTTATTTTCATATTAGAATTATTTACAGAAATTGAAATTACAGACTTTGGAAAAACGGATAAAAAAAGTCACCCCTAAATGGATAAGAAAATATAACTTGTAGCTTGACATCCCAACTTAACGGGAGGGATTCTGCAAAAGTAATGCATCTTATTTATTTCTATGGAAACTACAACAGATACATGGAGCACATTTAATCATAAGTATGTTCAGCTATAAAACACTTTTTTAACATTTTTATTAGCATTGTCAATGTATTTTCAAGACAATTTCCATTTCATGGCTTTATAGCTGTGCATGGTCATCTGGAATATGTCACACATGTCGTCACATGTAAAATGTGTTATTTCCCACCAGCAACTGTGCTCATATCCACTAGTTGGTTTCTATAGACATTTGGTAAGCATCAATAAATATCAGCAGATGAAATTTTTTCTACATGGTGGAATTCAATGACACATCTCTGCTTCATACCCACTTTCATGCTATACACTATTTGTTGCAAATTAAAAAAACAAAATATATATGGGCTATTGGCTGGAACATTCAACCTCTTCTACCATGCCATCATCATCTGCTTCTGATATCATGAGCCAAGAGAATGAAATAGGATGTATTAATCTTGGAATAACATATATATATTTGTGCAGTTTAAATGACCTCACTATATTATTTTAAAATTAAATTTAATATTTCATTTATCAAATAATGTTTTTTTTATTGTTATTAAAAAGAAAACAAACCAAATATATGTTTAATATATAAAAGCAAAATAATTGCAATCGGAATTTCTGAAATGAGATTTCTTTTCAAACTCATCTCTTTTGTCGACAAAGGTAAAGATACTAGTAAAAAAGAAAACTGCCTGTAAAATATTTAAATGACAATATTTATTCATTTTTGTTCAAAATATTTTGTTAATTCAATTCATATTTTCTAGAAAATATAGGTTGTTTTGAAATTTATTTTATCAGTGCTATAAAAACAAACATTAAAAGAGAAAACTGGACAAAAGAAAATACGGCCACAGTTAATGACAATACAAAAAAATTTTTAGAAATAGCTGACCAATTATTGTTTTTTTCTCATCAGAGCTCAATTGAATTAAAATCCTATATATAAGGACTAAAAATAAGGGAGAGAATGAGGATAAGAAAGGCACATATAACAATAATATATTGACATGTATCTACTTTAAACATTGAGAACCAACAACTATTCCTTTTGTTTACACAACAAATGTTTCAATTTAATAAAAATTGTCTCCAGAACATTCAGATGAAAGTCAGAATGGGATTTACTCAACACAGAACAAAAACACATCTTCATGGAAGGTTAAGGTGCATGGCCAATTTTTAAAGAAATATTTGGAGATTTTTTACCTACATGTAACTAAACAATTTAGATCCTATGATGAAAAACAGGTGGATTTTACAAACAAAAGTTATTTGCTTGTACCAGATGACCCAGCTGCTATTTTCTTTATGATACCTTTTGTCTGTTTAATAGTGGGTTGGAGTTAGATGTGTCATGAAACCGTAAGTGGGTTGCATCCAAGTCTTCATTTCACTTATGATGTTTTATCTTGTTTGGATGTAATAATATAAAGTAATCATTCTATATTTCTGAAATGAGGTATTATGTACACTATTTACATTGTGCTGACTATCATCTCTTATCTCCTGTTAATTCCCCTCTCGAGGTTCTCCACTGCCTTAACCACATGGCACAGTGGATAAAGGCGTTAGTTAGATCCAGTGACAGGACCCAAAGAGTTGTAAGTTCAATACCTGGTTAAGGTGGTGGAGAACTTGGAGAGGGGAATTAACAGGAGATAACTGATAGCTGACATGCATTAGACATGGCATGTGGAACTAGAACAGTCTACCCGAGTGAGCGAAATAAAGGGTTCAGTTTGACATTCCAACCACCTGAAGAATGCCAGAGTGTACAACAGTCGAAATGTTATGATAAATATGGCAACAAAGATGAGGATGATAGTCTGAACAATGTAAATAGTGTAAACATTCTAAGTTACATTAGTGTGCTGAAAAACTACATTTGCTGAGTTATAAACCTGCTGGTGCTCATTTTGTCCTAGGCCACATAAAATTAATTTTATTAAGACCTTAGTCTATTGGGCCTTGTTGATGTGTTCTTCAAGTAAGAACACAAACTGGAATTGAGAAAATGTTTTGCAACAATGTTTATATTTTGAATATAATGCAATCTAGCATTTGTGCTAAGATTACACAGTTCCATAGACCAATATTATTTGTTGTCTAGATAAATATCTTGTATGTTTAAGATTACTTTGGATCGGAGAGGCTGCTGTGAGATTTTCTAAACAAATCTCTGCCAATGTTAGGAATTGCTGTTTTGCAGCCAATTCACATTTTCTTCTTAGCCAATGTTAAAATCAATTCATAAAGATAACCTACCTATCTTTCAAACAACTTCCGTTATTTATCAATTTAAGTGTCAGTATCAGGCTGACTACATAGGTAGGGTAACCACTTAGATGTTAGAGAAGAGAATTGCTCAACATGTGCCAGCATGCATTAGGAAAGGTTGATTTGAAAATTAGCATGTATTTTGTTACATCCAGGTTTGCAATCTTCTATAGAATTTAAAAGGTTGCATGTTTGTGTGTATTTTAAGTGGGTGCATCTTCACATGTTATAAAACAATTAAGAAGCACGTGTACATGAACTTAAATGCTTATTCTCTTTTTTTATATAAACTGTCATGAAACAATGTCTTTTGGGTATGTCCATTTTCCTTTTGATCCAGGAATTAGGGCAATTAAGAATAAGTATTGTATTAATGACTGAGCTCAAGTCAGCCTTGTGCAGAGTTGGAACAACCAAAGGAAAGTTTGTACTTACATTATCACTGATAGGTATAAACATGGTTATGGGATGTCCATTTTCTTTTTTGGTTCAGAAGTAAGTTAGATCAAAGTGGTCAATCTCGCCAGCCTTATGCAGAGTTGGAACAACTAAATTACTTAAAGAGTCACTAGTCAGTGAACCAGGGGAAACTAAGATTCCTAGCAGTAACATAATTACCAAATAGTACTACATCTTGAAGCAAGTTGGGGGGGGGGAAGGGATGATCAAGAAAATGTTTGCCCTTTTTATAGACTTCAACAACACCATCTAACAGTGTTTACAAAGCCGAGTGAGATAATTATATTTTTGGTTCCTTTACTCTTTAGCATCATAGGAAAATATTTTTTTATATATACATTATTATTTTATTTAATGATTTTATTTCATTTTCTCACATTTCAAATATCTCATTAAAAGTTGGCAATGTGTACTGACCTTCCATAAGGATATGTTTTTAGTGTTGAGTAGAGCTAAGATGTTGTGAAGTTTACCCAGCCGATCCGTTCAATGTTCGGTCCTTGCATCTGACTGTTGAATGGATCACTTTGATCCAAGCCTTGCCTTGTCCCATGTTGTGTTTGATTTAGATCACAAGGCTAGCAAGGATCAATTGTTGACAGGAATTGTTGAATTGTTCTGATCCAGATAAAGTGAAGCCACAAGTCATAGGATAAATTGTAATAAAGAAAATGTTTTATATAACATTTCTTGTACAGAACTGATGGTACAATATCAGTTCTTCAGGTAGGAATATATGTTCTACATGCAGGAATATATTTTCTTCAAGTATTTTGTGACACTTTGTTCATCATGACTAAGTCTAGACAAGATTTCTGGAACACAGCTCAGAGTTGGAGGTTTTCTTCAGCAGCAGGAAGTTACGGGAGTTCAGTGAAGTGGTCATCTCTCGCCTGGCATCTAGTGGCTTCTCCTTTTTTTATCGTTTCAATTCTCTGTTTATATGAACCTCATCCAAAACCGGCATGGGGTCTGATGTGGGTTGGAATATCAGCCATTCCCTTAATCTTCACAGAGAGTTCTTTGTTTGACTTTGGGGAAATTAATTGCATGCCCAATTTTGAAGTGATCCCTCCTCTGAGGAGTAGTGGTAGCAGAATATCAATCCACCCCCAACTTCTTCCTTCTTGTATTGGTGCCTCATACCAATACTGCCCAAGGGGTGTAGGCAATGCTTTGAAATTTGACTTAGGCCCTTTTACTTCTATGGTCCCCTGACCCATCTGGTCTCTAGACTCCATGGGCCAGCAGGTATGGCTTAGCTCCAATTATTAATTTTAATTAACATCCCAAATTTTCATCAATGGAATTCCTTGACCCCTTCTGTTTTCTCAATAGGGTATTCATCAGCTCTTTCCCTGATAGTCTCATCTTGTGTCACTTTGGCCTCTATCCAAAGAAATCTCATCTCTTCTGACATTCATACCTTCCCCTCCCTTTTTGACAAGTGATAAAAAAAAATTCTCCAACTCTGCCCTTGTTTCCAGATTACCTTAAATATTATCTCTTGAATGTTTTTTTTTCCTTACTGATCCTGTAACCTGGATTTTAAATAGTAATTATCAACAATGTTTCCATTTCTGTTCTTATCTAAAGAAATTTCACCACTCCAGTGATTCACACCTTCCCCTCTTCATTTGACAAGTGATAAAAAAAGAACACTTCTCCAATTCTGCCTTTGTTTCAAGAACACCCTAAATATTATCTCACAACCTATTTTTTTTCCACTGGGTTATGGCCTACAGACAATCCTTTAGCTTGGATTTTAAAAACAATATTATCTCCATTTCATAGTCAGTTGCCAATTTCAGCCATATGTTTTTTTTGTAGGAAAAATCAAATGTTTCTGTCCTTCCCTTCTGCCTTTATCTAAGGAGTAAAGAAAAAACAAACCCTATGAATTTAATAAATCTTGCCTTGTCTGTTGGTATAGCTATCTAGCTATCCCTTCAACCCTTAAGATGTCACCAATCACATTCTGACTTCTTGGTCTCAATGTGATCTGTTTATAGCATATACAATATATTATCAAATACACCCTTTCTTTTAATTGTTTTGAACAGTATTTTAATTTCTTGACCAAGCTCTAATTGAAAAGAAATGAAAACTGGTCAGAAATGAAAACTTTTTTTTTCATGTATTTGCTGTATTTTCTTTGGTTTAGTCTTCTCTTCTCTTTTTTAATGTTTTTTTATATCCTTGATTAAATTTTGTACTTTCAATAATGTCTAAAACTAATTTTGCTTAGTATGTGACATGCACTGTTTCTTTCTTTTTAAATTTTATTTAAAGAAAAATGTTTTTCTTGGTGATCTTTCCCAGAATGTAACCTCAATTTAGTGTGCATCTTTGGATTAGTTAATAAATAGAGGGTAAGAAGAAAGATTCATCATTAAGCAAACACACTCAGGTTTTTCTTGAATGATCACTATGAACATAATTTTCTTATCGTGAAGGATGAAAGTAGAAAACTCAAATTGTCACTATTGCAGAGGGGAGGACCTCTTTAAAAAGTAAAGAATCCTGCACACCCATCAGTGTGACATGAACAGAGGTAAAGAATCTTGGGTCCCTACATCATAATCTATCATAATTGCTATTAGAAAATAATTCTCAATATTATTGCTTTAGAAAACTTCTGACTAATTATGAATATCAATTTTACTTCAGAAAACTTTGAAATGCTATGCCAATTAGAGACTTTTGCTTTATGTCTGAAACATATTAATTATTTCTATGAAAACCTTTTTTAGATGAACTCTTGGTTAAAAGTGAATTTTACCACGGCTTTTTAGGTTTTTAAAAATATTTTCCTTTTCTCAAGTATGTTGAAATCCATTAGGAAACAGAAAACATGGCATAATTTTACTTAGATTAGAAGTAAAGTAAAATTTACTGTTTCAAATTGGGATTCTTTTTTTTATGTTGTTTAAAAAAAAAATCTCTCTTCTACCAAACTTTAAAAAAAAAAAAAAATGGAAAAATTGCTGCTGCATATGACTTGTCAGTTGGATAGTAATAGCTTTTCTAAATGTTAAAATAAATTTTTTAATACTTTCAAATGTTATATGACCTGTGGCTTGATGTAAAGAAACCATTTTTTTTTTTTTTTTTTTTTTTTAACAACGAACAGAAAATCTTTTTCTAATTTTATTGTCTGTAGATTTTAAGTTGAGGATGATTTGGTAATCATAGTTTGAATGTTGACAACATTTTCTTTTCACTATTAGGTTTATTGCAATTTTATTATAAACTTAGTTATTTATACTTGTGATTTCTCTCTCAGGCCCACCTATAATTGAAACTGTTTCCCAAAATGTATCTACTTTACGCCTGCCACCACCAGACTTAAAGGTTTGTGCTTTGAATGCTTTCATGAATATGTTTTTATGCAGAATAATTTAGGATATGAGAGTGTGTGTGTGTGTGTGTTTCTTGGTTGTTTTTTTGTTTTGTTTTTTTTTTTTAAGCTTTTAATATGTATCAAATAATATCAAAACAACTCATCAATCTTACTGAGCAAACAAAAAATAATAATGTTTAAAAAGTAGTATAACAATTCTCTCAAAAGTACTGCAATCCTTATGAAGAATTAAGTTTTTGAACTTACATTCAGTTGGCAACAATAAAAATGTAAAACATCTATCTGGTTTGCATATATTCCAATTTACATAATTTGGATATTTCATGTATCACCTGGTTAATATTAATAAATGTTTTTTGTACTGATTTCATCAGTACTCTTTCGTTTGACTTTGTTTTATTGAGCAACTTATCTAGTCTACTATATATATATATATATATATATATATATATATAGTTAAACCTAGAGAACCAGACAACCTACCACAGTTTCATCTTAGCGGATCATCAGGGAAGGCTGGCTAAAAGATAAAAAAGAACGGAATACTTACAGTCGATAAACAAGACACTGAAGGTTTTACGAACAAGTATAGTTTCTTATACTTATAAGATTACTACTACTTATATATATATATATATAAAATATGTGTGTGTATGACTGTTATTATATATTTTCAAATAATGTACAATGTAAATTTTTGTGATCATTTTTTTCTGTACCATATTAAAAGTATTGAACAATATAAAAGGTAAATAATATATTTTTCTATCTTCAGACTGGTCCATTTCTTTTAAAATCACCCCCAGTATCTACCTTCCATCAACAGCTGTGGTTAATTGTGCATGTTGAAACAGATAACACTGGAAGTAAGCTAATATCATTCTTATATTTGAAATTTACCTTTTAAACACTGTTTTTTTTTTCTTGATACTTTTCAATTACATCTGATTTTTCTTTGTCAATAGCAATAGAAATTTTGTAATAAACTGAAGATTTTTAGTGAAATAACTTGGAATAAGATGTGACAATCAAGAAGACTGCAGACTATCTGCTCTGTAAAATGTTGAATAATAGTTACAAAAAATAACATTTGCCTTGGAATAGTTTCAGCAAAAACTAAATCTATTTAATTTATGCTTTCTAACTAGCCTAGTTCTGCACTAATCTGATATATGAATCTTTTTATAGAAGTGAAATTAGTTAAAGCAAATTCAGTGGATTAAGAGATCATAAATATTAGATATAGATTATAAAAATTCTTTTCTCTAAGAAATGAAAATTTGCTTTTCTAAAATACTTTAATTCTAAGATGATTGAAAAGAAGAAAGTATCTTTGTATTTCCAGCATCCAGATTTGAACAGCCATTTCAGGTGGGTGTCCAGATTCGTGCCATTCAAAAAGATGAAAAACCAAAGGTTTCATTATATAACCCCAATCTTACAGGAGAAATGCACAATCGAACACGCCTCCTTCGATGTGGACATGTAAGTAAACTGTATATTTTTCAGATATCCAAACTTACACAGACAATATAAATGTTTATAAGAAATATAAACATTTATATTGTTTGCATAACAGTTTATTTTTCTTTCATCTGTCTTGAACTCAGTTGATATGTTTCAGCTTACAGACTTTAAAATTCTTATTATCAGTAAGATAAAGAAGGAAAAAGCAGAACCTAAATCATTCCATATTCTCCTCATTGTCTGCAATTTACTTTTGTTTGTTCAGTATAATACTGAAAAGAAATCTTGCTGCTAGGTATTTTTATCTTGATCAGAATACAAAAAAAGTTTTATCCAATTTATATTTTTCCTAATGTTTACCTACCTTTTCCATCCATATTCAATTCACCAGTCTTAAATTACTGCATTACAGTCTTAATTAACTCTTTACAAGAAGAGAAATTAGTGTTTTATTTAAACCAAATGTTAATTTCGGCTCGAAGCAGATGAATTTGTTTTAAATACAGCAATAAACAAGAATTTCCTTCAGTCATTATTGATTCTGTCGGCCATCTTTTATTAAGTATTTTTAATTTTTAACGCCTTTTCTACATTCATTTATTATTTTAAAAGTTTTTTTTCCAGCTGTTACCTTGTTTATTTTACAAATGTTTTCAAACTTTACTTTTTATACTTAAATATCAGAACATGATTTGTAGCTTTTTATTGAGTTTTAAAACTGAAGAATTGTCAGAGTTGGCATGTTGTGCCATAAAAATTTTCATTTAACTTATTTATTATCAGTTAGTATGATAGTGTCTAGTCCAAATATGTTGATTTTCTCTTGGATTTCATTGCTAAAGAAAAATTTTTATGTTTGGATAATGTATAAAAACTGATGACTAATTACATTTGATTGCTTTACTCTTTGTAGGACTGTGATGACCTTATCTTGATGCACCTGGGTTTTCTGGATTATTCGAATTATATCATTACTGTCCGATTCTTTGGACTTGAAAACATGAAGTACAAAATTACAAACATTAATTTTCATGTAAGTAATTTTCTTTTAGCAAATAAAATAAACTGACTTGATCTAAACATTTCTATCCATTTGAATGTTGACAAAAAAAAAAAGTTTCATAGTCTACTTTCATGTAGTTGTATTATTTAATAGACTTGTTGCTTTTCGCTTAATCATTTTGGATTGAGTGAAATATCATGCAAGGTACCTCAAGACACTCATACTTTTAAAAATTTTTTTGTTTTTATATCAATTCACCCCAAGCATGCTAATGATACTGCTAAGATGTAAAGGGTTATTGAGAGTGGAAGAGAATGAAAAGACTTTAAAAGGGACCAGTAACTCAATCCTAAATAGGAAACCAAAGATAAATCTTTATTCCTATTCAAAAGGTCAGAGAGAGGTGTAAACCAGGTGATAGGCAAACCTTTCTACTCCTATTTTTACTGTTTTCATTACAAATGGTTTTAAATCACTATCTAATTCCCTGCTATTGTTAGAAGATTCAAGGCAATTTTCTTGAGACATCTCATCTGCTACTCTCAGTTGGTTAATCATAAAAATAAGTACTTTTTTTTACTTGGTTGCATATGAATGAACATTTCAGATAGTTTAAAGGGGAAAACATAGACTTTAGTACCAATAGGGAGCAAACAGCTACTCTAGATTTGATAAATGTATTGAAAAGGATGTTTTTTTATAATGATTGATTATGTGAAAAATCTAAAGGCATTCATTCAGCATTATATTGTTACCAATAAATGCATTCATTGTGTCAATAATCAACAGAATTTAATAGGCAATACAATGTTGATCATTGCAGAAAATGCTTTAGTTTCTTGTATATACAATAAGATTAATCATTTGCATTCTACTTGTGGATTATTGAATATTCTGATTGAAATGTGTGCATAAATTGTTGCATGAATAAATATTGGGCTTTTTCTGCAAATCAATGTGTTGCCCATGCTTTTATTTTCTTTCTTTTCTCACAGATATCTATACAAACATTTGCCAATTAGTTGCTCTTATTAAGCCAGTAATATGCTAATTCTGAACTTAAAATCTATTTTTGCCTATTTTTTGTTCTTGAACTAGTTATATACAATACAAAAATGAAAATTAAATGCAAAATCAACACTGAAGATATTTTAGATATTGTTCACTGCTTAAAAAAGAAAATATTATTTTATTCAAATAATAGTATCATTAAAACATGTCTTGAAAGAGAATATGACACAAGGACATGATCAAACAAAATAATTGTGGATCCATAGGTTTGTTGTCTGATAGGTTTATCAGCTGAAATTTGATCAGACATTGTATGATGTTGAATCTGTTATTAATATATTGGCATTGAATATTTGTTGATTAATTTAATTTTTTTTTCCTAATTAGGCTGCAGACTGATGTGTTCTCTGTTCCCTTTGTACATAATATACATATGTTGAGTATAATGTGCAATGTTATTAAATATATTTAAATTTCTTAGATATTTTTATGAAAATGGTTACTGTAATCATTTTTATATTTTAAAAATAATATTTAAATTTTCGTTTTAAACTTTTTTTTTTTTTTTTTTTTTTCATTGACTTCTACATGAAGATGCAATTGCCAAAAATACCCCAGAGGGTATATGAGCATTGTGAAATGGGGGGGGAGAAAAAAGTGGGTGCGTATATATATATGTCATGATCACCATCTGTGATTTGGTCTATTGAAAAATATCAAGTCCTCTTTGTTAACTAAATTTAACAACAAAAGGATTTCTGATTTCACTGAACTGAAACTGAGGACTTTTTTTTTTTATAAAAGTCTGTTTAACATTCAATTATTTTATATACAAATAATTGAGGTTTTTCTATTGACTTTAAAAGCAAATTTAGTGTTGATTTTGTTGCCTTTCCTTCTTCTCCATTCAACCAACTGACATGAGTTGGTTTCCATGACAACTGACTAGTTGTTTATAACTGTAGAATACACATTGAGTTTCTCTTACAAAATAATGTGCAACATACAACAGATGATTTTTTGATATTTGAGAATATTAATTGCATCAGAATAACTGCAGGGGCTTATATAATGGAGTTCTTTGCAAGATTTACTGATGCTTGCTATTTGGCACATTGGCTTTGATCTTATAAAATTCAGGAAACCTTTGTTTGTCTTTTGATAAATGTCTTGAATCATTTTCCTTTATATTCATCCCTAAAATATAGCCTTTGTTTTTATCAACTAATTGAAAGTAGTTTTTTAATGGTACATTTCAACAACTGAATAGGGTTAGTTCTTTCATTTCTGACCTGTCATAGAATTATCATTCAATTATGTCCAACCTTTCTACAGATAAATTGAAACAGTTTTAACTCAAAGTTCATGTTTATTGTTCAATAATGCTGCATGTGTATGGGATTTAGAATGGTAAATGGTGAAAGAGTTAACTTATTTGTTTATGAATATTGAAAGATGAAAATTGGTTATGCTTCAAAAATTGCATGCCTGAAACAAGAACTTTACTTAAATGTAAGCTTAATATAACCATAAAATATTGCATTTATTTACTTATTTATTCTAAATACATAAATTATTATGGAAAAGTATCTTCTTTTCTTAATTAATCCAGTAAAAGTTGAATTTCTAAAGTTTAAAAAAACACATATTTATTACAATTCTCAATCACTTCTTTTTCTTTTACAGTTCAAAAGTTATAATGTAACTTTTACGCAAATAGAAATTTGGCTGCGATTTGTATTCCTGGTTTTGACTTTTATTGCAACAGTAAGTCAAAGTTATCTCTCTCTCTTTTCTCTCTCTATCTATCTATCTATCTATCTATATATATATATATATATATATATATATATATATATATATATATAAAACTTTCTTCTAAATTTCATAGTCTTTAGCAGGTTTGAAGTTTTCTTTTTATATGATAGCATTTGTACATTTAACAAAATAATGATCACTAAATTGAATGTATTGAACAAATTTCAATAATGTATTTAGTCCAATAGTAGAAAGTATTGATTTGTTACAGTTTTGATAACCTCTCTTTTGCCTTACCAAGTTTATTGACAAATCTTTCATTTCCTATTTGATACTAAATGAATATTTAATATATCTGATTACTATCTAATCCAACTACATTTTGAAAAACAATTCATTTAGATTTTAAGAATATCATTTTTTTTTTTTTTTTTTTTTTCATTAGTTTATAAGTAAAATGTAAGTTTTCTTTTCTTCTCCACTATAAGAGCATTTTATTAATGCTACTTGACTATGAAAATACCCATTTTTATATTTTACAATAAGGCAGCATTTTTGACTTGTCTTTTTCATCTTTTTTCTGTTAATTCTTAGATTTGCATTCCATTGTTTCATTACACTGTGTTTAGTATACATTTGTATTTATAAAAAGATATAAAATTTATGAGAATTTTTATTTTCCTTTTTCTTCTACTATTTTTCTTTTTCTTTTTGCCTTTTTCTTTTAATACTACTTGACATTTCTTTTTTCTACTATTTAATAATCAGTAAACATCTATAATATATTCAGTGTTTATTTCTGTATATCTACCAAAGTTTTTGACTTTTTTTCTTTTTCTTTTAAATATTAAAAGTTAGATATTTCAAACATAAATGTATGTCTAGTAAAATTTGGCGTAGGTGAATTAAGACACTTGACAAATGGAATTTATCAGATCATTTACTTTCTATGGCTGTCTTCAATTATGTTTTAAAAATTTTTTTAAGATACTTTTCTTGGTTTCCATTTCAGATATTAATATAATTTAATCTCCATACTTTCTGACATTCTCTCATTGTTTTCTTTTTCTTCTCCCTAGTGTTTCTTTGCCCACTCCCTAAGAAAATTTTCTGTAAAGGATTGGTCAATAGAACAACGGTGGATGGCTCTTCTTCTTCCATTATTACTTCTTTACAATGGTCAGTGCCTTTTCTTTCTAAAGTTATTTTCATCTAAAATTTAATTTTGTACTTGTTTTCTCATGAACACATTGATTTCCTTTGGTGGATTTTAGATATTAAAAAATCTTCCCATTTGTATTTTCTATCATGTTTTTTCAAATGGAAAAAAAAATTAGAACTCTGCTTACTAGATTTTGATAAATTTGTCATTTTATATCATGTGTTTCTAATTTCTCTTTCTTAGATCCTATTTTCCCAATGACTTTCTTAGTAAATAGCTGGATACCAGGAATGTTAGATGGACTCTTCCAGGCCACATTCCTTTCTGCATTATTATTGTTTTGGTTGTGTCTTTACCATGGAATCAGACAGGTAAGCTACATACATTCATACATTTTCTGCTTTCTTTATATACCTTCTTTTATATAATTGCCCTCCCTTAGAATAAATTGTAAAATGAACAACTTAACCTAAAAATGCCATGCTCCTTCAGGATGTAAGCAATCATGGTTCTCCAGAAATTATTATCTGTGGATTTCTATAACCTTTTTAATTTGGAATTCAGAATTTTTTCTTTGGAACTGGCTGCCACGCAAGATTAGAGATGTCTCCTCTACTATTTAACTCTTATCTGGTGGGAGAAGAGAGAGGTTCATGCCTTTTGCAAGGGTATTTGCATGAAAGTGAATGCAACAAGCTTGGCTGGAATTTGAACACTGCTTACTGATTTCACTTTCCAAGCTGATAACAGTTACACAACTCACTCATCCTCTTACCTTTTTCTGAAACTGGTTACACATTTTATAACAAAATTAATAAAGAACAATATCTTTACAAAAATTAAAACATTCTGGAAAAAGAATTACTTGAAATTAAATGTGATAACATTGGTTATTATGTCATTTTATAGGACAAATTTGGATGTAGACTTTTTTTTTCATGTCCTACTTTTTCTTTTTCACAGACTGATCGAAGATTTTCTACATTTTACTTACCAAAATTGTTAGTAGTTGGCTTAATATGGATTGCAGCTGTTACATTGGCATCTTGGCAAGAATACAATGAACTTCAAGATCCAACATATTATTATCGTTTAGACAAAACTAACTTTATGGTAAATATGGCTTGTTTTGAATTTTTATTATTTTACTCATAAATTTGTTAGAAATTAGTTTTTCTCCTTTTTGCTGTCTAGTCATACTTTGTAATTTACATATCTTGAAATAGATTTTGTTGACTGTTATAAGACAAATAAATTTAATTTTAATGTGTGTTTTAGTTTATTACTCGTTTCTGTCAATGACTGCATTTAAACTATAAATAACTGAATCCGATATATATGGGATAATGTTTAGAAGAAAGAATCCACATGTGCTTCTTGTAGTATATTTAAAATAGGTTGGTTAATAAAACAAGGGAAATGAAAGGGTATCAATGTGATTAGTGTGAAAATCATAGATAGGGAACACCATTGGAAAATTCGTAAACTTAAGGAATCAGCACATATACTAGGCCACAAAAATCTCCTGAGCTGACCAAGCATAGAAATAAATACAATATGAGAACCAGTAATAAGGAGTGCCAGAGAAAAGCAATGATAACAAAGTTGCAATATGAACTCTGGTAAAGACATGCAATGATAACAACAAAAATTGCAATATGAGCACTGGTAAAAATGATGCTGAAAACATTAGGTTTATAATACTCAGAAGTTCATACCCAGATGTCCTCAAGGACACATGGTACAGTGGATAAAGGCGTTGGTTAGATCCAAAGAAGGTGAGTTCAATTCCTGGTTAAGGCAGTGGGGAACTTTCAGAGGGAAAATTAGCAGGAGATAACTGATAACTGACATCCATCAAACATGGCAACAGAACGTGGAACTAGAACAGTCTACCCCAGTGATCGAAATAAAGGGTTCAGTTCGAAATTCTTACAACGTACAACGGCCGAAATGTTGTGACAAATATGGCGACAAAGATGAGGACAATAGTCCGACTAATGTAAATACAGTGTGAAAAACATTTATTATATATTAATTATTAACCACAAGACAGAAATGAAGCATGGAGATTAATGTTATTAGTCCAGAATTTTTGGGTATGCCTGTGTCCTTCATCACATCATTTTAAATAAATGTAAGTACAGTATATATGTATGTGTATTTTTAAGTTATTGTATAGTAACTTAAATTACACACACCTTTACAATTGGATGCTATAGTGAAGGGCTTAACAAAAAAAATAATACTGTACCAAAATCAGTATAAAACATTTGAGAGACAATGCATGTGTGTACACAGTGAGTGCTCAAGTAAATAGTGATTATTCCTGGAACTACCAGTCTCTGTCTGTTGATTGCACCAGTAAACAATGGTGGCCAATTCTGTCAATGGGCTGTTAATTTGAGGGTTTACTATATATATATATATATATATATATATATATATATCGGAATGTAATTACTTGATTTGTATAAGTAAAAAAAATACAAATATCTGTTTATAGATTTGTCATTAATGAAAAATTTCTTAGGCACTTTAGAGTATATATATATATATATATTAAATGAAAATACATATAAGAAAAAATTTTAAACAAAAATTAAATTTTTATTTCAGAGGAGAAACTAGAAATTCAGTTTTTAAGTTCATTTAAATTTGTAATTTTTTTCTCTTCCCTCATTTCATTCTCTTTGCTTTTCAGTGTTATTTTCTTTGTATTTGACTTTAGGGCTTCAAGATTTTCTTTTTCATTGTGGGTGGAATCTATCTTGTTTACCTTGCTTTTCTACTGATTCGTGCATTTGCCGAATTAAGAACAATGCCTTATTTTGGTGAGCTTGCTTACTTTTCTTTCATATTTGCTTTCTTTAATCTTGTCCTCATTTAATATGAGGAGTGCTGAAAATTTCTTTGCTCAACCAAAAATCTCTTAAAATGAATTCTGATATTTGATCATTTGGTTATGCATAAATGACCAGAATTCTTTTAAGTAGTTGGTCAAGCTAAGAACATTTTGGCATCTCTTTAAAATCACTGCAGTTTAAGAAGATATCATTTGGTCTAATTTTTGTTAATGGTTTAATGAATAAAGTATAAGAAATTGGAATCACTAATGTTGTAGAATATTAGTTACATCAATTTTTCTTTCTTTACATCCAGTTTTTTTGTGTTTCTGTTTAAATCTTTGTCATGGATAAAATGCAACTTTGCCATTTGCAAAGTAAATGATTTCAAATGGTACATGATCTGTAGATGCCTTTGATGTCAAAAACCTTTTATTCATTTCACACACAAAAGAAACTGATAGTAAGAAATATTTTATTCACTAAAGAAAAATGGTAATTAAACTTTCATTTTGTATAACATTTCAATCTGCTTGAAGCTTAAAAACTTAACTTATGTATGTATGTATATGTATATATATTTGTGTGTGTCCAGTATGAGTTACTTATCTGTTGGCAATATAAGTGTGTCTAATAGAAATTAATTTAATGTCAATTTTACTATTTCACATTGTTTAAAAAAAAAAAAAAAAGAAAGTTGGATGGATAAATTGATGAATGTTCATCACAAGCCATCATTAACAATATACATTGTTTATACAACAGACAAATGTAAATGTGTATGTTGCTATATAATCTTTATATTTTACATGTCAAGATTCTTGTAGAATAGAAAAATCCCACACTAATCATGTTGAGGAGACTAAAAATGTTTAAGATTTTCATTTTTTTTTTTTTTTTTTTTTTTACAGATGTGCGATTAAAATTTTTGACAGCTTTAATGTTCATCATCTTGGTAGCTTCTGTTGTGATAACTTTTCTTCGATTTGGTGGTACCATGTTACAGGACAACTTTGTGGCCGAACTAACAACACATTATCAGAATTCTGTAGAATTTGTTTCTTTTTATGGCCTCCTTAACTTTTATCTCTATACAATGGCTTTTGTTTACTCTCCATCCAAGAATGCCCTATATGGTAAGATGATTTCTCTTGAATTATTATCAAATTTTATCTATTTATTCATCCATTCATGCAACAACATTGTTGACAACTAACTGAACTACAACTCTTGCTCACTTGTTTGGTGCAATACTTGTTAAGAATAGAGATACGTAAAAATACATTTTATTCGAAAATCATTTTCTTATGAGCAGGGATACCAGGTGAAAAATTATCTTCTCTTAATATATTTTTTTAATTACAAACCAAGAAAAGACAAAAGATTAGTTACACATTAAAAAGTAATTGTTACTAATGCACAAAATAAATGTTATGCTTTCTTAACTTGATAGGTCTTCTGTACAAATGACATTAGTATGAAAAGGTTCTTTGGGATCCCTCCTTGAAATAATTGTCATCAAGCTAGCTGTAGAAAAAGTTGAAATTTCAGGTTGAAATCAATGAATTGAGAAATTATCCTTGTGCCTTGTTGGTGGTCATGGCAAAGCTATTGTTGTACAAACAAAACAAATCAAGATTTTTAAGCCTTTTTATTTGGCTGTTAAAAATACCAAAAAAACCCAACAATTTTTTAATCTATAATTGATCTCTGGTTACCTCCAATGACCATGAAAGCCAGCGCCACTTATCCTACTTTTTATTTATTTTTTGCCTCCCCCCAAACCACACATAGCAATTTACCTTCAAGAATATTAATGCTTGTCTGCATAATAGATCCTAATGGTCACAAACTAATTCTACAGCCTCAGGTGATCTCAAAAATCAAATTGACTTTATCCACCCTGTTTATTTGTGAGACTCAAAAATCATTTTTGTGTTTCATAGTAAATGACATCTAGTGACCTTGAATGACCTTTTAAAGTCAACCTAATATAGCCTCTGTTGCTATTGCCTTGTGAGTCTTCAAGTGTCAATAATTAGATCATTAGGCCCTGTAGACCTTATTTACTAGGTGTCACCATGGACTTACTAATAAAAAAACAACAAGCTTAAAAATGTGCTTAAAATTATTTAAATATCTTTCTTTTTTTCTTTTAAAGTTAAATTTTGGTTTCATTTAAAAGATAAAAAGTTATTCTGTAAAAAAAAATAATCTGGCCACTCATTAAAACAAGAAAAATAATAATGCATAAATAAAAATTATTTTTCTTGTTTTAATCAAAAAGCAAGTATTTTTACAAAATCCAGTTAATCCTTGAATTTGCTTTAGAATAAATATTGAATTTTTAAATTTGTTGTTTCCATTTTTCATCTATAATGGGGGTTTGATGAGTGGCCATTTTTTATTTACTTGTAACAACTAAGTACTGAGACTACATCATATAAAAGGCTGAATTAGATATTAAATATAATTAGACATTATAAGACATTATAGAGTAATGACTCAATGTACAAATCCACGTCCCTATCAGTCAAACCAATTAGGTGACTGTCCAAGCTTACTTGAGCCTGGACATTGCCTTACGTTCGTCTTGGAAGATGCAAACATATTTTTCAGGAAAAAAAGTGCATCTTGTAAGCTGGAAAATGTGGTAGTTCCTTTTTGAACATCCATGCCAAAAATAATTTAACAGTTGTAAAAATGAAAGCAATAAATAAAATACTTGTAAAAATATTCCTGGCATGAAAATAGCAGTAAACTTTGTTTTTTTTTCTATTTTTAAAAATTTTTTTTTTTTTTTTTTTTTTTTTTTTTTTTATTAGCAACTGGAGTAAATTAAAAAATAAATATTCATTGTAGATATTTTCCCTGTCAAATCTGAAAGAAAATAATGTTTTATTAAATTATGCAAGCACTGATTCACCACAATAAATATTTTGAGTTTTATTGAATTATTTTTAAGTTTCAAGACAAATTTTCAAGATGTTCAGATATGATATTGCATAATTCTTTTTACTGAAATAACATCCTCAGGGTCTTCTTTTTTTTTTTTTTTTTTTTTTTTTTTTTGTTAAACTATAAAAAATATTTTTCATCAATGCTCAATTTTAAACATGTGCAATGCATCGAAAGTGTTGGTATCACTGACCTAAAAAATATTTCCACTGATTTTTCCTATTAAATTCATTCATTAATGAATTAGAACAGAAAATTTCATTTAAATTGGCTAATTTCTTGATTTTTGGTAAATTTTGAAAAACGGTTGCATGTTTATTGTTTTTTATAAAAAAAAAAAAAAAAATGCATGTGCTTTGTTGGTACCCAATACACAAACAGTAGCCTCCAACATTAGTATAGATTTCAATATGTTACATGTGTACAGTGTTCACTTATAACACTTTTTGTCCTGCAACTTTTTCAATTTGCATATCTAAAATATTGAGTGTGGGTTGAAGCTTAAAAATTTTATAGTACATAAATTAAAATGCCACATGAAGTTGAAATGCCACATGAAGTTGAAATATATAAAATGTTAATGGTGGTTTCAACTAACAAAACTCAATTTGCTGACTAAGATTTCTTGATGGTTTACTTTTTTGTATTTGTTGCTTTTTACAGAGACTCACTTTAAAGACAACCCTGCTTTGTCCATGCTCAATGATTCTGATGAAGAAGTGCATTATGGGTAAATATGTTTATTTAAAAAAAAACAATGTAGAAAGACGCATTTTAACATTATGCTTGCTTTTGTAGTCAGAGTATTTAAGCAATATTGGTGTTTACTCAGATGTACCATGGCCAAGGAAATACAGGATGAGCCAAATATTTGAGAACATATCTATAGTGGGCAATAAATGGAAAACCACTTAACATGATATTAAATAGTATATGCTAAACTTTAAGAAATCTCCTTTCTCATAAATGTATGGAGTACATTAATATGACAGCTTTCAATCTGACACAGGAAATGAAAAGGCACACTGGCTGCCAACCACATTGACTTGGAGATTTTCAAAAGTGGTCAGGTGAACAGGATATTGATTGATTCATTTTCTATGGCTTATCAACCCTTTGTAAGTTATTTAAAGCCAGAAAATATTTTTAGATTGTAAGATTTTTTTTTCTTGTTTTTTTTTGTTTTTTTTTAGATAATAATGGTTCTAGTGATACAAGTCTTACTAATAAACCCATAGTGGAGGAAAGAGGTAGATTCATACCCTTCCTCAAGGGTATTTGCTCATAAGTGAATATAACAAACACAACTGGAAGTGGCACTCTACTCTCTGAGCCATTATCCATTACATCACCCACACATCCAAGCTTATAGCACCTGTTATTCCAAGTGCTCACCCATCTAGGTACTGAACAGGCTTGACTTTGCTTAACATGATTGTTTGTACAGGAACAAGTGTTTCAGCATGTTATGGCTGTAAGCCAGGTGAACCGGAGGAATAACAGGTGACACTGTATGGATTCCATGTAGGTATCTGTGGTGACTAGTGATGTATACCAAATTCACATTGTCTTATGCTGATCCTGGGCATTGTGAGCAACAAGGTGTCATGCCACCTATTTCTTTTCACAAGACTTCAATGGTCACTGCCACCACCTCCATTGAATTGTTAGACTCAACTGCCAAACCATGAATTGCTATGTGCAACAGCAAGCAAGTGACACTGTACATGTTCCTTTTCACATAAGTTAGAAGTGAGCTGTTGAGAATTTTCATCATCATGCTCCCCTCCACACATGGCCTAGCTTACCTGATTAGATTCCTATTCAAGTAATTAAAAATAATAGCTTAAAATAACCTTACTAAAAAAATTATAGCATTTAACCTGTTCTTATTTCATTTTTAAATGAAATAAGAACAGGTTAAATGCTATAATTTTTTTTAGTAAGGTTATTTTAAGTTTAGGAAAAAACTTGAAAAAATTATTTATAGTTCAAAATTGAAGAAAATTCAATTTGTAAGCATTTATAATGAGAACTAGAAATCTTGTTATTTTTCTTTTTAAATTTGTATTTAAATTTTTAAAGCTCAGTATCAAAGTTGATTGGAAAGCAAGAGAATGGAAGAGAGTTCCACAAGCAAAATGTGTGATAGAAGAAACTGTTAGCATAAAACTTAAGATTATATTTAGTCATTTCAACTGTAAAATGATGAGATTTAGCTGCCAATCAAGTACTTACCAAAGAGGAAAGCAAATCAGAACAATTACCATAGAATATTTATAGAAAAGGCACTGGGAAGCTACATTACTGAAGCTGAAATGCCTGGTTAGAACTGATATTGTAGATTCTCTTTTGGATTTTATTAAGAATGTCTAAATACACAGCAGAAGCACTGGACCAGATGTGACAACAATATTCACTCCATAGACAAATGGTAGACTAATACAAAATAGATTCTGGTGTGAAAAACTGTTTAGCACAACAGTGAATCAAATTTTCTAGGCATGTCAGCAGAAAATGTTGACCTGAGAAAGTGCAATGAGTCACTCCTCCTGGATGTTAGGGAACCTTTTTTTTTTTTTTTTTTTTTTTTTTTGGCTGATGCTAAGACAAAAAAAAAAAAAGAGCAGTTTCATTTTGGAAGTGTTAAAATTAACAAGCAGTTTCTTGCCCCAGATTATAGGTCATTATTAAAATCTACTAATTTGACCTTATTAAACTGATGAGACTTACCATTAAGATGTGGGTAAATAGTTTGTCATCAGTTTGATAAACATTGTTAAATCAAGTTGTGATATGTAAAAAAGTTTATTTAATTGTAATTATATTGAAACTGCTAATTATCAGTCTCTATTACAAAACTGTAATTTTCCTGATCCATGTAATAACTAATATCTTTTTTTTAGAATTGAGAATTAACTTAGTGTGACTCTAAAATATGATTGAATAAATTTCTTTACACTGTTTCCTTTTCTATTTTATTGCAGGTCTGATCAAGAAGAAGTTTCATTAACTAGTAGGCAAAGGCAGAACCGATATGATACTGATGATGATACTTTCCACTAACCTTTACAAAATAAATTTTATGCATGTATGTTTGTGTGTGTGTGTGTGTGCATATGGTGGGATGTGCTGGAGTTTATGAATTTCAACTGTTCAAAAGTCTACAAATCATTTTTTGTTTTTCAATATTTAAAAAAATGTACTTTAAAGTTCACTGCATATTTGAAATATTTGTATTGAGGTTTTGAAAGCAAGAATGAAACCTGTATGTGGATGTTTGGACTCAGTCCCTGGTTCTAGAAGGGAGGAATTTATAAATATAACATAAATATTTTCAAAATTTCAATGTCTTTGTGCAAGCACATGGTAGAGTGGCAACAAGAAACAAAACAATTCAGGTCTTATATTCAATATTAATTCAGGTCAATTTGAAATAGTTTTTTTTTTCTTTTGAGAAGTGAGAGAAAAACTTTGACTAAATAATTGACTTTTTAATGCAAATGTTTTTGTTTTCTTCTCTTCCTCTATCCAACTATTGTTGAACTAAATTGGGATGTATTTATATCTATATAAAACACATCTACATCTTCGTTTGTCTGAAACTAAGTGGCTATTTTCATGGGTAGTTTTTTTTTCCATCAATGTCATATGGGTTTTAATGGGAATTTTTAAAAAATAAAAAAAACTTAAATGATTCTGAACTGCTTTAACAAAATTATCTGAAAATGTTTTATGGAACTCATTTTTTGTACTCCTAAACTTTGTGGTTTGCAATATGGCTTTTCTGGTATGAATGTGGGTTTGTATAATAACTTTTTTCAAAATGGTCAGCTTGTGATCAAGTGAAAGATTAGCCATGTCAGCCTTGGCTGTCTTTCTGGCTTGCTGCTGATTACAGTCAGTTTATTTGTACACATATAAAATCTGTTATATGTTCCAGAAATATAATTATCAATTTAAATAAAACAAACAACAAAGTGTCATTAAGTAGAGTAAAAGGGTAGGAATCTATTCTGACAGAAAAAAATGATTCAATTCTTTTTATTCTTTGACCAAAATGCCTTCTGGTTATTTTCCATAATGCTATTCTCAAAAAAAAAAAAAAAAAAAAAATTCACTGGGATATTTCTTACATTATTTACATGCAGACTATTGTCTTCATCTTTGTTGTTGTTATCAAAACATTTCAGCCATTAAGCCTTCATCAGATGTACATCAGTCTGGATGATCTACAGGAAATTTCAAACTGAACACTTTATTTAATGTACAGAAGTAAACTGTTCTCATTTCACTGCCCATGTCTTCTAAGGAGATCTCGTCTAGTTCTTATTTTAGTACTGTTAAGTTAATGCTTGCCCTATTTCAACTGAGTCCAAGCAAATACTGCCTGGCCCAAGGATTGAACTCAACAATTACTATGTTACCAAATACATGAACTAACATAATAACTAAAAGTAAATCCCTGTGCTGGGCAGTGAGTGGAAACATGAACAATAACTTAGCAGTACTAAATAAGTAGATGAGATTTTTTTAGAGTGGCGGTGGAACGAGAATGTAGATTAAATAAAGGGTTCAGTTCAGAATTCCCTGTAGATTACCCAGATCAACATATATCTGATGAAAGCCAAAAGGTATAACAGTTGAAATGTGATTATAACAATAAAGATGAGCAGAATAGTCTGCATGTAAAATAATGATAACTTCTCATCCCAGAAATTCAAACAAGATGTTTCTTTTTGTTCTTTTCAGGAGGCCACAAATGAAATTAAAAACTAACAAAAAATGCCTAATCAATTTAACATGTTTAGAAAATAATGTATATACCTTCTTTCAACAAAACAAAATTGTAATTCTCCAAAATAAGTTATCCGTCATTTTCTAATAACCAATATCTGACCTGTATGTATGTTTATTTGGTAGGACCATTTCTTTCAACAGACTCCAAATTACTGTAATTCCATGTTTGCTTGTTTTTATTTGGAAGAAGCCTAAGCCACGTAAAAGAAATAATATTTTTCTGTTAAAATATTTTCCTCGTGTTACCTTGGCAGCAGTTAAAGATCAAGAAAATTCAGACTAAAAGACATTGTCGCTGCTGAACTTCAAACATTTTGTTTCTCCTATCTATTAAAATTTTTTGTAAAGAATTTAACTTAGACTTAATCATTTTTATCATGCAGCAGATCATTCTAGAATCTCTTTAGAATGTGTGTTATTCCAGTCTCAGGTGTGGAACACATTATGGTCATTAGAATTATGGTTTTACAGTAAAAAGTTAGTTTAAGAATAAAACAAATCATTAAATATAAAAATATTGATATTGTTAGCTTTTGTTTTTTTTTTTTTTTTTTTTTTTTTTTTTGAAATCTACAATTGTCTATAATTTTTCTCTTTCTCCTCTTTTTTTCTGAAAAATAAAAGCAATAATTCACTTAATATCTCCGATTGATACAATTTACTGCTTATTCAGCTTCAGTCACTTGATAGCATAGTTTATACTTACAACAAAAATTAACAATTTCTATTTTGTATGGAAAGTAATGTAAATACTTTTTAGACTTTATACTATTTCTCTTTAACAAAAAAAGTCTGTTTAAAATGTCTCAAAATTCCATCTCCAATTAATTATTTAATGACAATGCCATAACTATTAAAATCCATTCACTTTAATGAAGCTTTTACCTCTTTATAAACAAACATTAAACAAGACTTTTAAAAGTAAAATCTTTTAGAAGTCTTGTTTAATGTTTGTTTATAAAGAGGTAAATTATATTTCAAAATAATGTGTGAAGAGCTTTTCTAAAAGTATTTTTTTATCTTGCTCTCATTATCATTATCTACTTGAAATGAAATAATTAAAAAATCAATTTTGAATATATTTTCTGGCCTATTTAAAGTGATAAAAATATGGATAAGTTTTTCTTGAAGTGAATGTTATGTTTGAGTGTTTCCATGTTGACAATAAAGAAATCCTTTTTCATCAGTACACTCTTTATTTATTCAAAACCACCAGTGAACAAATGGCATAAATCTGGTTCGGCAATATCAATCGGAAATAAAGGGATTCATAAAATACTGTCACCTCCTATAGTTTTAGAAGTTAACAGAAAAAAAACTCCAGATCAACAATTTATTTATTTTTTTTTTTTTTTTCTTATTTTTACAGACAGGTTATCAATGGATGTTATATTTTTTATATTTTATTAAATAGTATAATTAATGGACTTTTGTGTTAAATTTTCTGTTCAGTAACAATACAGAATTAGTTTCTCTGTTTGCAAAGAGCATATATAATAACTGACTTTTATTTCATTCTCTTGAATTCATTATACCAAAAAAAATTAGAATTTTAACATATTTCACACCATTTTCAAAGAAAATTAAAAATGATAATGTGTCTTGTCAATTACTATATTATTAGACATAGATATCTCATCAAACCGTTACTGTCAGGTTTAGAAGTGACAATTTTATTTCCAACGCTATCGAAATTATTGATAAAACTTAAAAATCTATTTATGTAACCTCTTCTGCTGCCACATTTATTTCTACTTTCTTTACTACTCTAACAAATGTAGCTTTCCAAATATTTTTCAATAATGTTACATCTTGACTAACATTCAATTTATGCTAAACAATTGTTTTAACAAGAAAAAAATTGTGATATTAGATTCACCTGTTCCTAATTGCAGTAAGTTTTATTTTTAAAAATTCTTTTGTAATAATCAATTGTACCATCTGCTTCTTCCATTTCCAGTACCTAAATGTAACATTTTCTTTAATATCAGACATGGACGACTTTATTTTTTTCTTTTTCAAAACTAACTCAGACATTCCATGTTATCTTATTAAAGTAGATAATAATCTTTATGCTTTCATTTTAATTATATATTTTGTTTTATAATAACCTGAATATTTCTGCAATTTGAAATTTCAGAAAAAATATTTGGTTTTTCTTTTTCGATGTATAGAATCCATATTGGATTTTGTATAGGTTTATATAAATATACTTTTAAAAAAAAATATCACTGGCATCTTCTGAAGCCATTTCTGTATTTGAACATTTTGTATAAAATTCAAAGAAAAAAATTAAAACTCATACTTCAGTTTTTCTTTTTATTTGTTTTGCTTCTTTCATTAGATTTTACTTTTTTTTTTTTTTCTTTTTTGTGGGTGGGATCTGGGAAGGATTTCATGAACATTTATTTCCAGTATTCAATAAAACAAAAAAAATAAATAAAAAGATACTTGTTTAACTAAAGATTTTGAAATAGTTCTTACGAGTACAAATGTTATTTAAATTTTGTTGCCTCTGATAACAAGGCATACATATCTACTTTTGACATATCTTTAAAAAAATGAAAACCAATTTATTAAATTTATTTTTTTGAATGTGCTTTTCAAATTGCAAACTTTTACAAACACTGAATTTCCTATTAAACAAAAAAATGTCTTCAGTGGGTTTAACACTGGGATATTATTTTTATAAATATCTGCTGCATACAGATAGAAAATGAATTCAACAGATATACAAAAATAGAAAGAGGATGATGTGTCTTCTCACTGGGTTTATTCAACCTATACACTGGGGTGATTCTGAGAAAACTAGAAGTCCTACCAGGATTTATTGGCAGCCAAAATCTCAACATAAGGTACTTAGTGAGCTTGAGTAAATGGATGGTGAAACTGGGCTTAGGAAAAATAACAGAAAGACGGTTTATTAAGAGTTACAAGGAACAGGAAGTTATGGAGAGCCATAATCGGCTATGTCCTGAGGGGACATGGCAGATAACAAGATTCAAATTTTGCTTGTTTGTTTTTCTTAAGTTATTCAGAAAATGTTTTGCTTTAATTTAACTTGAATCAGAGGAACAGATGCAAAGAAAATGAAGATGGGAAGATTAAACACCAACCAGGAGTTCAACTCAGTTGCAAGAGAAGTTTAATTTTAGATCAATTGAAATTAAATTTTTTATCTTCCCATTGAAAACTGTGCCATTGAAGTTTCTTCCTAGATGAAAGCTGGCATCGAAGCTTTTTGTGTCATCACAGATAATAAAATG